TTTCTTTTCCCTTGACTTCCAGGACAATCCAAGTTCTCTTCTTAACTTTTTATATCATCTTTATTCTCCTTTTTTAATACCTCTTCCTTTGCCTAATCTTGAACCATATTTTTTTCTCCAAGGTCAGTCATTAACCTTCTCTTATTGTGCCTGGTTAATGCCATCTTCTCCTAGAGCTTTGACAGACATTCTGTGCAAACAACTCTGAGATCTGTTTTTCCAGTCTTGACTTCCCTCCTGACCTTAAGAGCCACATGTCAACCTTCTGCTGGGCATCTCCAAATATATGTCCCAAACTGACTAACAACTGCCACTCCTCACTAAAGTCACTCTCTCTGGCGGGCCGCATCTGTGTTTCTTGATTCATCTTTCACTGTATCCTTTAAAAAACTCTAAGCCCCTATCACAACTATTTACTGTTTCTTGGCTATGTCATTTATTTTTGCACTGTTTTTTGTCCTTAAAATGTCTCTACTTCTACATATCATCATAATCTTAGTTACCATATGAGCATTTTGAGGCTATTTTATTTATATTTATGTTCTTAGTGCTAAGCTCTGTCTCCAACATGTACTAGACAATAAATGGTGGTTAGTTAGATGATCGATCGAATGAATGGATCCATGAATACATTTAAGGCTTAATTCACCAACTCAAATGCCACTTTTTCACTGAAAGTTATCATGATTCATACTTCCTCTCTGGTGTTGCTTTACCACTTTTGTGTGTGTGTCTGTAATAATAAAATAGTTAACATTTATCAGGCCCTTTCAATGGGCCAGGCACTATTTTAAATACTTTACTAATAGTAAGTTCTGGATACCAACAGGATTAATATCTACTTTTTATAACTGTACTAATACAGATATAAATTTAAGAAATGTCAAAAAGATGTTCAACACTTTCTCATGTGTCATTCTTTATTGAATTATTTTAAAACCTGATATCTTGTTTCTTTCTGAGCATTTCAGAGTCTAGCATGTATTTTACATGTAGTGGGCACACAGCAAACATATGAACTAAAAGTATGTCTTTCAGCTGATGAAAATGTCTGATATGCACTAGGTCCACATTCTTTTGAAAAAAATCATTAGCAGCCAACTACAGACGTGATTCAATTTGCTCGTGTTAGGGAAGAGGAAAATAACCTTTCTAAGGTTATTTCAAAATGCATTCATAAGGAGATGTGATGGAGCACTCATTTAAAACACTTCATGATCAATGTACAAGTGAAAAACAAATTATCCTCAAGAAATTTGTACGATTTCTGACTTGTTTTGCCGTTTCCTTAACTCTATTTAGGTTTTTTTCTTAGTGACAGCATTTTTTGGAACTGGAAATATAGCTTCTATTAACAGGTAATTTTAAAGGAAAAGAGCATTTTGTAACCAAAAAATAATGCAAATTGGGACTGCTATACGTTTTGTCCTGTACCTTGCCTTTATATTGGAGAATGATATATTTTGGGAATTTGTATGTATCGGCATATTCAGATCTACTCTGTTTCTTTTAGTGGCTTCATAATAGTTTTTGATATGATGTATACTTGTGTTTTAGTAATAGTAGAGAGAATTAAACATCCTTTTTAGTAGAACATTCATTTAAAGTTACAGTGTGAATTCTAAATCCTTTTTCTTTGTTATAATTCCCTAGCTTTGATCTTGCCTCCGTCTATTGTTTTCTGACTGTGTTTAATCCTTTTATGATGGGAGCCCTGATGATGTGGAAGGTTAGTTTTCTTATTTTATTATTTTTATGAAGCTATTTATTGATTAAGATTAAGATTATATGAATGCATTGTGACATTAAGATTAT